ATAATAAAAGCTGCAGAGTTTGAAACTGAGCAAATATATAACCCAGGAGTCATCAAGACAAGGTGTAAGAAGATACAAAGTATAAAAAATATATAAGTACAGGAAAAATGTATCTGAAAAAAAGATGTAGGGAAGGCAAATTAAATTAGTGAAATGGGATGGGAGAGTCTGTAAGGAAGGTACATGTATGACTCAGTAGAAATTTTATTTTGTTTTAGGAGGAATAGATATATACAGAATGAGCCAAGTAAAAAGGGACAAATGGTCTCCTTTCAAGAAAAATAGAATACAGCCAATTGGAGAAGAAAGAGCAGGAAGTGACTATACTATACTCAAGATCGCTTTTAATCTTACCTCAAAAAACAAAAACAGAAACCTAAAAATTAATATTTGATCAAAGCCTTTTCAACAAATAGACACTCCTTACACTTACCTAAGATAGTTTTTTTTTTTTAAATAAGGGCAGAAAAAGCTGACATACAAATATTATTTTTCGAAAGCAACATTGCACTGACAGTTTCTGTTACACTGTAGAAAACCCAAATTCCCATGTGGACTCCCAAGTTTTAAGCAATTGTAATTAAAAAAACAAATTAAAAAGGATGCACTTCTGTTTTGTTTCTGGTAGTACTTAAACTCTAAGCCCAATCTTGAAAGAATGCTTTCTGGGCTACTGCCTCTGATAGTCATCTGAATCCTTTATTTTTCACACTAGTACATTCTTTGCCCTTTTTTCTAGTCCAAAGCGACCAAGTTTATAGAGCATTGATTTCTTATACCAGCTTAAGCCTAAATAGGCTTGTTGCGGGACCTTTTTGGCATATTATTTTAGTTCCTTGTCTTCATCACATGGGCTGGGGAAGCAAACAACCCTAAATTTAAATCTTGGATCTATAACTTATATAAATTATGGGACCTCTGGCACATTTCCTCATGCTGAGTCTCGGATTCCTTATATATTAAAATGCAAATAATAATGTCTGCCTCTGAAGAATGGACTTTTAAATGCTTAAATTTATTTAAACTTCTGGTTCAGGGGTGCCTGAGCGGCTGAGTTGGTTAAGTGGCTGCCTTCGGCTCAGGTCATGATCCCAGGGTCCTGGGATCAGAGCCCTGCAACGGCATGGGCTCCCTGCTCAGCAGGGAGTCTGTTTCTTCCTCTCCCTCTGCCCCTCCCCTCACTCATGCTCTCTCTCACTCACTTTCTCTCTCTCAAATAAATAAAATCTTTAAAAAAATAAAAAATAAACTTCTGGTTTGGTGCAGATTTAGGTACCGGTGTTGGGATTCTCAGTTCTACTCACAGACCTGCTTTTCAGTTGTATCTCTGGGTATGATCCTCAACCACCACCCCCAATTCTGGGTATTAGTAGAGATGCTTCTCTGCTTTGTAGTTTCCATGGCCCTATTAGAACCTAACAGGTCTCTGACTACTCAGATAAAAATATTAGCTGTGATATGGTCCTACAGAATTCTTATCCGAATTTTAGGTTTCCTGTACAGATTTTGCAAATCTCTCTTGCCCTTTTCTTGGAAATCACTGTATTTTCCAATTCTGGATAGTCTACCTTTGAACTCCATTCACTGCTTTCTAACTTGTCTGAAAAGTATTTAGCTAGATGACAAGGTTAGTTCACTGTCTTTTTTTTACAAGCTATCACCTGAGTTTTTTCTCATCACAGACCCCTGGCTTCTACAAGAGCCTGTTTTCCTTCTACCTTCACACCATGCCCCATTATCATATAAAACATTCCACAGTATTGAGGTGCCTGGGTGGCTCAGTCAGTTAAGCCTCTGCCTTCGGCTCAGGTCATGATCTCAGGGTTCTGGGATAGAGCCCCATGTCAGGCTCCCTGCTCAGTGGGGAGTCTGCTTCTCCCTCTGCCCTTCCCACTGCTTGTGCGCGCGCATGCTCTCTCTCTCAAATAAATAAAATCTTTTAAAAAAATTCCACAGTATTATGTTATAGAAAATAAATTAGAAGACAACTCTAGGTTCTAATTTCAGTCCTCTTACTAAATATATGATTTTTGCCAAATTATTTAACCTACCTGAGAGTCAGTTTTTTTTTTTTATTTACAAAAGACTATGTCCAGCCAACTAAAGAAGCTACAGATCAAATGCAATAATGCAGGTGACTGTGCCTTGAAAACTGTAGTTCTATACAATTTGCAGAAGGTATTATCAATTCAGTAAAGAGGCAGTATAGCATAGTGGTGAAGATAAAAGAATCTGAAGTCAAACTGCCAGAGTTGGAATCCTGTCTCTATCATTTACCTTTGATATATAAAATGAGGATTATAATACCTACGTCATATGATAATAGCTCAATGACATTAGCTATTCTTGTTATTATTAAATGCCTACTATGTTAGGTATTACACTAGGTGCTAGTAATAAAATGGAATCAGGACAGACATGGCTAACATCTTCATCAAAAACCTCTATTTCCTACTCTATATGCTACATTTTTCTAAGTCATTTACGTATTTATGTCATATATACTTTATAGCAAAGAAAAATCAGAGTAGTAAAGCATTTCCATAGAGCATCAAGACTCCACAATTCCAATATTTCTTTCCTGTGAAAATATCCAGTGAACACATAGTGACTTTAGTATTTCTTTTCCTAATTCATCACTTGAGTTGAAACTCTTGATGACTTCTGGGTAAACTGTCTGGGACATGTTCCCATCAAATATAAATAATCCAATGCTTGTCAATCACCTAAAATGCTAATTAAAAGGCAGATTCCTAGACCCCATTTCAGACCTATTGACTGAAAAGCTCTGAGTGATTTGCAGCAACATGGATGGAGCTAGAGTGTATTATGCTAAGTGAAATAAATCAGAGAAAGAGAAATACCAAATGATTTCACTTATATGTGGAATTTAAGAAACAAAACAAATGAGCAAAGGGAAAAAAGAGAGAGAGAGAGACAAAACAAGAAACAGACTCTTAACTATAGAGAAGAAACTGATGGTTACTAGAGGGGAGATGGGTGGAAGGATGGGTTAAATAGGTGATGGGGATTAAGGAGTGTACTTACCATGATGAGCACCTGGTGTTGTATGGAAGTGTTGAATCACTATATTGTACACCTGAAACTAATATTACACTAACTGGAATTAAAATAAAAACTTACAAAAAAATAAAAATAAATAAAATAAAAATAATTTTTAAAAAAGCCCCAGCTGGAAGATGTGGGAATGTGCATTTCTAATAAGTTCCCAATGTGATTTTTATGCAAATCCCATTTGAGAACCACATTCCCGAGACAAAAAAAAAAACAAAAACCTCCACTATATAAGAAATCTGTACCCAAAGATATACTGAAGAATAATGATCCAAAGCTTCACTAAAGAGAAAAATTTTAATCCTTAGAATAAATTTTCATATGCATGTCTTTTAACAGGGTTGAGTCAACAATGCACAGAGATCAAGACCAAAACTGACTTGAACATACACACCTTAACTGTGCGTATTCAAGAAATTCCTACTCTGGAGGCCAAGGAAAAGGGTGGTGGTAAGAGGACACTGAGAAAGCTTACTCATAATTTCATAAGAAGCAAAGAAAAAGGTGTTACTGCAATAGTCACACTTACTAAAACTGGGGTTTTGTAATCTCAGAAAATGCAACCACCTTCTCTTAAATTCAGACAACTAAAGACAGACCTCCTTGCGCCAACTCCCCCCACTTACCACAAATCTTGGATAATGCCTCAAATGTAAACCTTGCCTAGTGGGAGTGAAGTTGGTCCTGTGACCAGAGAGGCAACGAGAAATATGGTCTTTTGATAAAAGTCAGCCAAAAACAACCAATTAAAATATAAATTTATACCTGTTGGTCTGAAGGACAGTTATAGAAGAGATCTCATTGAGACACAAGACAATCAAGGAGCTCCAAACTCCTAGTGGATGTAAACTTTCCAAAATAACAAAACATTTACCCACCAAGGACCTAAGATCGGCTCTGGCTCAGATAATAAAACGCCCTGAAAGGCTTTCGTTCCTAAGATGGTAGTGGGGCTAGCACTGTGACTGGAAGAAAACGGGAGCCCAAGGCAGAAAAAGACGCCCAATCTGCCCACACTCTCCGTCCTGAACCAAGTCTGGAGCAGCAGAGCGGGCGGGGTTGCGATTTCTCCTGCATCACTGCGTTCTCTCTTCTCCGCCTGCGTGAGCGCCGCCCACCCACTCGCCGCGTGAACCCACTGGGCCTAGCCTCTCCTCCCCCCTCCCCTCGGCCTGGTGCTGAATCATGAGTCCAATATCTCCAAAAGGTAAAACCAAAGAACAATGCCACCCTCAGGGCTGGCCTGAGTGGGGTACCAGGTTGGGGTGAAGCAGCGGCTGCAAACCACAACTTTGCTTCCCTTCTTCCCAAATTCCCCACCCAAGCCCCAAATTGAAACAAGTACTGTAGTGCTGGGGGACTCCCAAGCGGGCGCCCCTTCTCCTGGGTTGCTCAGGTCCGCAACGCTCCCACCGGGCCCGGCGTGCTCTGCCTCATTGTTCCGGCACGCCGCCCGCTCGGGAGCCCGCGCCCTGCCAGGCGGAAGGGCTCACAGCTCCCGCGGAAGAGGGTGGAGGTTAGGGATCCTCACCCCCTCGCCCCCCACCCCTCTCGGCCAGGTTAACAACAGCCCCTGCCTACTCTCATCGCCTTCCTGCCAACCGATCGCTAAAGCGGAACCAAGGAGTCCCCGGGAGGCTACCGGCGGGTGCTGTCCAAATGCTGCGAGGAGGCGGACTGGGGGAGGAGGGCGGGGGAGAAGCAGGGGGCTTCGGCCTGCAAGAAGCTGCAGCCCTCTCCCACAGCGCGATTCCGGCTACCCGGTACCACTCGGCCATGCTTTCTCCCGCCCTACAGGGAGCCGCTCGGTTGTGGCCCGTCTCCCAGCCCTGGACTCCGCCACCGATCAGCCCTTGGCCCTCTTGTCCCCAGAAGCAGAAGGCTAGTCCCTATGCAGGCTGCAGAAGGCACCATATGCTACTCACCCCAACTGTTTCTGTCCCTGCGGTTCTTGGCCATGGTGGTCTGGGGACTGGTGGCGGTGAGGCGCTGTCACTGCGCTGGCTCTTCTCCCGGGCCGCAGGTTGCTGGCGGTGGGAGGCTCTGTGCCCGCCGCTGGGCGCAGTTCGCTCAGGCTCTGAGGATGTTGCTGTGGCGCTGGTGGGAAGGAGTGGGGAGGAGAAGGGAGGAGAAAGCGGATGAACCAAGCTCAGCATCACAAGCCTGAGTTCACACAAATACCAGCGTCACACCCTCCCTACCTCGGCCCACCCCCAGAGCATGAAGACAGGGACAGACGATGTACTGCAACATTTTCAATGGAAAACACACATACAAATAAATAGCACCCCCTCACACACACTCTCAAAGAATTTAACAGCATTAGCCAGTCACAGAAATACACAAACCAATATACTGCATTATTCTCGATGTTCAAATACCTGTTTCCTAGGAGAGTTACACATTAGTACAAATATGCAGGCAACATTTATATAGCCAAAGAAATTAAAATAATCTGCATTTATCTACCAGGCACCATTTCCCCCCATTTTAAAAGCAAGGTCATGCTGGTAAAGAGGGTATCAATGCATTTTTGTACCTGTATACTGAACAGGCCTGCCTTTTGAAATTAGGACAGCAAAATTTAGATCAAGATCAAGATAAATGAAAGCTGGAGATTCATCATAGTATGTCACTAACTCAATATCTAGTGGGCAAAATTTCCCACTAGATTTGCAGAGAAAAACTCTGGAATTATATTGCCAAATATTTTAAGTAAAATCATACCACATGGTCTGGGGGAGCCTTGGCAGCCACAAAGGTTGCAGACCTTTTGAATTTTGAATAGAAAGCAAAAGGCAATAAACACTTAAAAAAATATTCTCAACCTCTCCCTTTCCACTGATTTCTTCCTCTCTGCCTGCAAACTCAGTTTTCAGTATTCTAGAAACAGTCCTTTCATGCTACTTGACCCTCAGGATACCATTATCCCATTCCTCACACAGTTTTCTCCTGCGTTCAGTTGTTGCCCACACTCTACAGATCAGTTTTGCCTACAAGATTACTGCTATCCTCTTAATTACCAAATCTTTGGTCTCTGCTTATTCTTCATCATAAGCAACTCTTCACTCTATGTTTACTCAATGTAATTTGCTATCATGGCTTCAGACAAGACCTCCATCCTGATAATTCCCAAATCTATGCCTCTAGTCTTAAGATCTCTCAAAGAGAGAAAATCATCATACTAGAACCAAATTTATAACTGCCTGAGGTCATCTTCACTTTGTTTTTCTACTGACACTTCAAAATCAACATTTCAAAACCAAACTATCTCACCCACCACTGCCTAATCTTATGCATTCCATATTTCAGTTAATGGTTCTAGTGATCTCAGAGCTGTGAACACTGTAAACCAAGTTTACATTACAGTTTCAATAGAGTTGCATTCCCCAAACACTAATGAAACAACATAGGAAGACAGTTATTATCTCAACCCTATACCTACAAACTAAATTCATAAACTAAAAAGAAGTGTGTTCTGCTTTTCTTGTATATCTTAACTATAATTCTCAGCTCACATTCTTGCCCGATAATCCCTTTCAGTCAATCTCATTAAAAAGAATAGATTCCACACATACACACAGACACATGCACAGACAGACACACAAAGTTGTATAATTCAATATATTCTTTTTTTTCATATATGGGTCCTTACAATATATATTCTTAACTGAAAAATACATTTAAAAAAAACTCTTTTCTTTGTAATTAATAGGTAATCTGTGGGATAATACTTGAGACTGTGACTATCTTGGCCAAGAACTTCACCCAATGGTTTTAGTATCCATTGATACCCTTGCCTGAATCAAGTTTATATTAATGATTTTTAAATGGTAATTTTTAAATAATTATATCATTTCTTTTACATTTCACAGTTAGCAGCTGACATTCCCTCTCCCATCTTTGTTGAGAACCACATAGATTCATGAAATCTAAAGCAAAAAAAAAAATTATTGCGTTATTTATCATCATTATTCTTTCTAATGCTCAAATTGCCCTAAATTTGGCCAATGGGAGCCCCTTCAAGTTAACACCTATATGATCAGTTCCTTATTTTCTGGCATAAGAAAATGTTTCAAGTTTCCCTTGTATTTTCCCTGCCTCAGAACTAGAATTAGCCAATTTCTCCAAGAAGTTCTGGCTCCTTTCAGTGAAAAAAGAAACTTAGAAACCAAGATCTGGGTGCTAGTTGTGCTCATTGCTAGCAGAAGTTTCACTGTTTCTAGACTCTGACAGTAGACATTGTTAGAACATATTTATTTTGGGGGGCACCTGGGTGGCTCAGTCAGTTAATCATCTGACTCTTGTCTTAAACTCAGGTCATCTTGTCTTAAACTTAGGTCATGCTTTCAGGGTCATGTGAGCAAGCCCTGTGTTGGGCTCCATGCTGGGTGTGGAGAGTGCTCAAGATTCTCTCTCTCTCTCTGTCTCTCCCCCCAATTCTAAAAATATTTATTTATTTATTTTTAAAACCATAAGTTTAATCTACTCCAAATAAATACCTCCAACCATATGAAAATACATATATACAGGATTATTTATTACAACATTTTATGTAATTGCAAAAAACTGGAAACAATATATGAGAGTGGGTGAATATACTATATCTACACAATGAAATACTATGCTGCTGTAATAAAGAATAAAGAAGATCTCTATGAATGGATACAGACTGATTTCCAGAATACACTATTAAATGGAAGGGGGAAAAGTGAAAATGCTTTACCCATCCTGTAAGAAAGAAAAGGATATGAAAGAACAAAGGTATCTGCTCTTCTATGCAAAAGAAATACAAGAAAAATAAACCAGAAGCTAGTGAGATCAGCTACCTACAGGAGATGGATGGGAATAGGATGGAAGTAATGGGAGAATGGGAACAGGGTAGTAGGGGGTGAGGAAGATTGATCCTCCTTAAGTATAGCCTTTTTATATAGCTCTGTTTCTTAGAGCCATGGTAATGTTTCACATTCTCCAAAATAAATAAATAATTGAAATCAACCAGGTTATGGGTGTAGAGAGAGTTCTCAAAATGGAATTACAAACAAAAAAAAGTGAATCTAACTGTATTACAGGTGAGTAACATAACTACACTGAGGGTGTAGGAAGAACTAATCTGAAAAACTTCAGAAAACAGTATTTTGACTATATGCTATAAGACTAAAGACAAAAACTATACACAAGTATCATACTCTAGTTCACTTAAAAACATTTTTTGAGTATAGTTGATAGGCAATGTTACCTTAATTTCAGGTGTACAACATACTTCAGATTTTTTTTCTTCTAGGACATACGTGGGCTAACAATTCTGAAATTACTTAATATATGCACTAGGATTGGACAAATATATGGTACATAATCAGAGCCAGATTTCTTGCTTTTTAAGATAAAGTTATAACAAGGAAAGGAGGAAGGATAGAATGAACCCTGTGGTGTTGAGTCAGAATCTGAAGTATCAGTATGATAGAGTAAAAATACAAATAACTCAACTTTTAAAAATGGGCAGAGGATCTATTAGACATTTCTCCATAGAAGACATACAAATGGCCAATAAACACATGAAAAGATGATTAATATCTTTAGTCACTAGGAAAATGCAAATCAAAACAACAATGAGGGCCACATGGGTGGCACAGTCGGTTAAGCATCCAACTCTTTTGATATCAGCTCAGGTCTTGATCTCAGGGTCATGAGTTCAAGCCTCACATTGGGGTCCATGCTGGGAGTGGAGGCTACTTAAAAAAAAAAAACAAACCCACAATGAAATGCTACCTCTTACCTACTAGGATGAAAAAGACAATGAGTGTTGGTGAGGATGTGGATAAACTGGCATACCCATACACTGCTGGTGAGGATATAAAATGGTGTAGCCACTTTGGAAAGCAGTCTGGCAGCTTCTTGAAAAGTTAAACATTGAGTTATCATATGGCCAGCAATTCCACTCATATATACCCAAAAGAAATGAAAACATATGTTATATGAAAACATGTGTACAGGAATGTTCATAATAGCATGATTCAAAGGAGTCAAAAGGTGGAAATAACCTAAATGCCAAATAACTGATGAATGGATAAACAAAACTGTATATCTACACAATGGAATATTTGGCCATAAAAAGGAATGAAGTACTGATATATGCTACACCACGGATCTTGAAAATATTATGCTAACTGAAAGAAGCCAATCACAAAGACCACATATTGTATGATTCCATTTATATTAAATGTACAGTATTGGCAAATCTATAAAGACAGAAAGTAGATCAAAGTTTGCCTAGGGCTAGGGAGGGTGGAAGGGAGGTTGAAGAGAAACCCTCAGTTTCTGCTTTTGAGTACAGGTTTCTTTTGGGGGCAATTAAAATTTTTTAAATGTTTGAAATCAATTCTGTACAACTCTGTGGATATATGAAAAATGACTGAATTATACAATTTAAATTGGTGAATTATATGGCATGGTAATTACATAGCAATAGGCTACTTTTAAAAAGTCAAGGTCAAGTTTATTTTAAATCAGAAAAAAAGAAGGAAAGGTATTTGTACATTAGTACTCTAGATCTCCTCTCATCCTGACCCCACTGGAATGTTATTTCATAAATTGTTCCCTCCCTCCTATATCCTCAATGCTTTTTTTCCCCCACTGGTTCCTTCACGATGCTCATTTCCCCCCATCCTAAAAAAAAGGCTCTCTCAATCTTGTCATTTACAACAAACATGGATGGACTTAGAGGGTGCTAAGTGAAATAAGTCTGACAGAGAAAGACAAATACCGTATGATTTCACTCATATGTGGAATTTAAGAAAAAACAGATGAACAAACAAAGAAGACAAAACCAGAATCAAATACAGAGAACAACTGGTGGTTCCCAGAGGGGAGGTGAGTGGGGGATAGGTAAAATAAATAAAGGGAATTAAGAGCACACTTGACTTGTTGAGCACTGAGAAATGCACAGAACTGCTGAATCATTATATTGTACACCTGAAACTAATATAAAAGTATGTGTTATTACATTTCAGTAAAAAAAAAAAAGAATAAAATGTAACCTCCTTAAGAAAGAAAAGGGCTCTCTCAATCACAAGTTTCTCCATAGTTGATGCTACAAC